CACTGCGCGCCCTCGGCCGTGCTGAGGAGATACGGTGACACTGACGAGACGCAGACACACACAGAAGACACTGACGAGACACAGACACACACAGAAGACACACTGACGCAACACAGCCCTGCTTCTGAAGCCGCGCAAGGCCCGACCTTGCGACCGGTCATTCGTTTTTGTTTTCCCGTCAGCCACCCCCGCATACTGGCCGTGCGCTTCAGATGCAGACGAGTTCTATTTGATGGGGCCCGACTGTACCGTGCCGCAGGACTTCATGGTATGGTCCGCAGGCTTAGGTGTATGTCGCTTACAGCGCTTCCAAATTCATGCAGTGAGGTGTGAAGGATGCACACATGAATTATCACTACCGGACTCCCGGCTGCCCGGCGGACTCCCGGCTGCACGCGCGGTTCGGTGCATGTTAATCCGTTGGCCTTTTGCCCCTCCGCTGGACGTGGCCATGACACTGGACGTTTATATAGCTGTCGTAATTACATGATGCAGCGATCTGGAAGCGGACGGGGTAGCCTGATGAAAAGCGAAACATCACGCGCGTCTGATGAGTCCTGACGTTGACTTGGAATAAGAGCGCGAATGCAAAGAGTTTGGGCAACCCAGCAACCGAATGTCGTGAACGTACCAAAACAGCACAAAGCAAAAGGCACACAGCGAGCAGCACATAGCGACCAACACATGGCAAACAGCACATAGTAAACAGCCATTGGCAAGGACGCATGCGGGATCCACAGAGCGGACCTGTGGCCCGGCAGCAGATCCTGCGGATTGGCGAAACCGCATCTAAGGATGTCGTTGAGGAGTCTCGGATGTGAGAAAGTTATACACATATAAATAGTTCCACAGAGGAATGAAACGTGGTATGTAGCAGATAATCTGACTCCTCTGGCATTCACAGAGTGGGCGTGACATATCATTAGGCCAATTCGCAAATCATGCAACACATTCGCAATGTTGAGCATGTTAAACGTTCGGAGATCATGCGAAATATTTGCAAATGTAAAGGATGTTAAACATTCGCTAATGTAAAGCATGTTAAAACATTCACAAATTACGCAAAACATTCGCAAATATTAAGCACGTGCATATTCGCAAATCAGGCAAACAACGCGCGTTGCTCTCTGTTGCAGATCGGTCGGCTGGTGGCGCGCGCGAAGGCGCAGGATGAGGAGGGCGACCCGATCACCTTCGGTATCATGCCGGATGAGTTCTCGGACGGCTCCCACCTCTTCACCATCAACAACGTCACCGGCGTCGTCTACCTGACGGCCGACCTCACCGGCAAGGTGAGTCCGCACGCGCCTGTGTGCGTGGGTGGGGTCAGTGACCTTCTGGTCAGCCGAGGGTGGGGTCAGTGACCTGCAGGTCACTGGCTGCATTTCGGAAACGGCTGAACAGTTATTGTGATATTCTGGCAACTGCATGTGTAGGCAAACTGCGTGTCTGCTAGGTCTTACAGATGCGGACTGGTTGCTTTTCAAAGATTGGTGCGACCGAAAATCGTTTCTGAGTCACATATGTGAAAAGTTAAATCCCCTACACGTCCCCGGTTGATTTGACATCCTTTTACTTGCTAGTAGTCATAGTAGTTTTAGTAGTTTTTTTAGTTCATAACTCTCTTCATACTGTAACGGTTGCAAAGAAATGGTCTGAGGCACGAGGTGGCCTCGGTGGTCCGCTCGGGGACAAGCATCACACGTTGCTACTATTATTCTGGTAGCGAATTTAGTACATAGCGCTATAGCGGGAGACAAAGCACAGAAATGTCAATATTCCAGCATTTTGTGATTTGCTTTAGGCGGAAAAGTTCTATTAAATCGAAATGTTTTAGTCATTTGATAGAACACGAACTTAGAAGACTTCTTTGGTAGGTCTCGACCAGTTAAGACCGATTTATCTGTACACTACCATCACGCACACAGATCCCAATTGGGTTATTTGTTCCATGTGAATGAAGTCATGGAATAACGCAGCAGTTTCACATTCGTGCCATACGATGTACACCGCGGTGTATGTTGTACACTGCCGGCTGGTTCACCTGCAGTGTATGGCAGCAAACAGCACAGCAAACCAGCAAACAGCGCCAGTAAATAGCACAGGAAAAAACACAGCAAACAGCACTCTGCCGGCTGATCGGCCTGCGGCGTGGGGCAGCCATGCGTCGATTATTCATAGTTGCAGCTCTACGGCGTATTGCCTTCTCGCGCTTGGCGCCTGTTCTTCCATGGGGCGAAATAGTTTTACGTCTCCACCCCATTAGTTTTCCCACTATCATTCGCCCTGGGAAAATCGGCTCCATGTCCCTCACTGAATCGCCCGGCGTCCCGTCATGCGGTAGAATGACGAGTCTTGTGGTATGAGGTATGAGATATGAGATAGAAGGAATGACCGCGTTCTTCATCATCCGCTGGTCTGTTATGCTCTCCGAAGCCATCGCCAAGTTTATATGTTTGGCTCTGATATGGGTGGATAAGATCTAAGCAAGTGGTGAACACGTTTTCGACCACGGAGGAAACCTGATTCAAAGGGAAACCTACGTAAGTTGTTTAGTGCATTAGTGAGGAACATTATTTGCATAGATAAGACAGTAGTATAAGCCTTATTCCTCGGAAGAAGCAGGAGAATAGAGATATAGTTTGGTTGATATTTCGGCAACATGTCTTTATCGAAACAAAAGCAGAGGTGGAAGGCTATTCTTCTGCTTTTGTTTCGATAAAGTCATGTTGCCGAAATATCAACCAAACTATATTTGCATTCTCCTGGTTTTCCGAGGAATAAGGCTAATACTACTGTCTTATCAAAAGGAAACCTAGTAGCCTAGTAGCCAAAAGGAAACCTGATAGCACTCGTTCGACCCAGAATCTAGAATACGCTCCCTCCAAACTGACTTCATCACACCGCTCACTGGAACTGATTATAACCGACAATATGTTCAGTGTATTTGCCATCAACAGAGGACCTCGACGATGTAGTACTGGATTCATAGCAGGCATAGCAGAGGCACGCGACATCTGCTACCATTTCAGTGATTTGTTATTAGCCAAGTGGCCTGTGAGCACGCAGGGCAGCAAAGCTACCGATCAACACCATCAGCACCACTCACCTACAGAAGGTCACGCAGGGTCGCGGAAGTCGCGGCTGAGTGGTTGGTACACACACCCCGAATCAACATCAGCATGCGCTGTGTGCGGAATAGAAAGACGTGGGTTCAACTCCCGCGGCAGACAACTTTCACTTGCTGCACGGTATGTGGACTGCTGCTCAGTTCGGCTCACCTGGCCTCCACGATGGGTGGATGTTGCTTCGCGTGGCTGCCTGCTGTCTTGGTCAGGACATTAAGGTGTTGCGCGATTCGATAAACCCCCCAGCAATCAAAAGATCGAAGGTAAGTTTTTCTAGCAGTTAAATTCGGTGCGTCTGATGCCCCCGCACTGCGGGCATGAACGGCAGCGTCGCGTCACTACGACGAAGAGGCTGGCTGGCTGATGACTGACTTCCCTCCCCTCCCCTTCCCCCGGCAGGAGAATGAGCAGTTTTACCTGCGAGTGACGGCCGACGACGGCCACATACCGGTGGTGGCGGTCGTCTGGGTGGTCATCACCGAGCCCACCGGCAACCTCAGCGAATTCGAGCAGCCGCCGACGTCCCACACGCAGCCTAAGCTGCCGCCCAACCTGGTCGACAAGGCGGGCGCGGCCGCGGCGCTGCCCGGCCGGCCACGCGCGTAAGTCACTGGGGCCGCGCGCGCTCCGCGGGAATCAAACCTACACCCCAGACGACCTGGGAGGTCTGCTCGCAATGGTGCGCTGTTGTCGGAGTCCCGCGCGCGAACCGCCACCCGTTGGCCACAGACCCGGCTCCTGGCGCTGAAGATGCAGAACGCCCTGCGGACGTGCAGGACGTGTGGACCGCGTGTTGTTTGCCCCATGTCACCCGGGCGCCTCTCGCCGGACGACGCGCCTGAGCGGCGCCACGTTGCTGTCCGATCCGGCGATCTCTGACCTCTGTGACTCCGGGTCCGGAACGTCTGACCTCTGTGACCCTGACGACGGGACGCGCCCGATGACCTTGACCGACCTTCCGCCAGGCCCATCGCCCTGGGCGTGCCGTCCCGGCCGAACCGGCCCAGCGGCGCCGCCAACGAGCGGTCGTCACCGACCGGTGAGGGCCAGCGTGGCTGGGGCGCCGGGCTCGAATCCGGCCGGCTGCTGAACTTTCGTCGGGCTGCCATCCTTGTCTCTTTGTGGACACGTAGCATTACCACTATGGTGACAACTTAATGAATTGGCTTAACATGGGCGTATCACCCCATTTGGAAAGTGCCAACGCTTCCGGTGGTGTGCTTGTTTTTGTCAAGTCTTGAAAGGCTTGAAGTGGCTTACCGGTGGACAGGAAATCTCAGCAGAGAGATGACGCATCGCACAGGGCAGCTGTTACCACTACCGCCACGCTTAACTGTAGCGTTATCTACGCAAGGTCTGCAAGGCAGCGTCGAAACTGTAAGGTCTGCGACATTTGACACGATCTTCCACTTATTTCAGAACCAACACGGCCACAGAACGCGACTGGTGCACCCTTGGAGAAGACCCCGGAAAGCGGTGGTCCGATGGATCCGACCCCGATTGTGGTGCCGATCGTGCTGTGCGTGGTGCTGGTGCTGGCCGTCGGCTGCGCCATCTGGTTCTACCGAAAATGGTCGAGCGCACGGAAGAAGACGCGCAAGGAAGAGAACGTCAGTGACTCTTCAAAGTGTGCCGGCCGATACGCCGGCTAACGTTGTGAATTTCGGGGTTACACCCGAATATTAGAACTAGCAAGGCGCAGACATGCGTATGTTAGAACCGCCGAGCGTCCCCATACATTCTGCAAGATATTTTGGTAGATGAAATTTGAAATGCGGCTTACAAGCACAACACATGTGAGATATAATCAAAGTACCTTCAACAAGCATGGTGTGGGAGGTAGTGAATCATAAATAATTAATGTTGTCGTGCTTGGGTATTCATAAAAAATTGCCAAGGTAATGTCGTGACTTAATTGAACTCGAGGCATTTTGATTGCCTCATTTGTCGCCCCCATTTGGATGCGCTCACACACATTTGTATCACCTCATTTGCATCGCGTGTTGATCTTGGTGAGCATCTCACGTGTCTTGCGCTGCCTACCCCGCCAGCGCCTGACGAGGGTGCCGTCGTTGCAGTACGCCATCGAGTTCCAGCGACGCTCTGGCTTCGGATCGGAGACCTCAGATAAAATGAACGACGAACAGAGCTCCACCTGGAGACGCTTCGACCCCAAGGGGATCGACGCCACCAAATTGGTAAGCTATCACAGCGCAACGTCAACCACCGACCAACCAGTCAACCAGCCAACCAGCCAACAACCAACAACCACCTAGACGGGGCGACGAGCAGGCGGTGGAAGAATGAGGACGAAGGCTCTCGTTGGCGATAATCTAGATACCTTGCCTTGGTTGGGTTAAGACATTTGCTTGCTGCTACATGTAGTGCGAATGGCCTCTTACTCCACATTGGGTTTGAGTTGAATTTCCTTCATGGTTTCGTCTGCAGAATGTTCTGAGGGGTGATTCGGAGCTGACTAGTGTTCGCATTGATTCAGAATAAGGATCAAGATTCAGATTCAAAATCAGAATAAGAATCAACCCACAATTCTCGTTAATTTTGGATAAATCATGCGTCGATTTGAATTCGCTCGAAATGACTCGACGCTGATGATCTGTCTCATTTGTCCGTAACCTTCGGCAGTCAGCCGTCCTTCACCCGTCATGACCTCTCACACAAAATTCCTCGCCTTCTCCAAGCCTCCTCCAATACCACCTCCACCGTAACCTTCACCACCTCCTCGCAACACCTCTCCACCTCCCACCATCACCTCCACCACCTCCCCTCCCCCGCAACACCTTTCCGCCTCCTCCTCCATTATCCCCACCACCTCCCCCGTAGCACCTCTCTGCCTGCTCCACTACCTCACTGCAGCATCTCTCGGCCTCCTCCGCCATCACCTCCACCACCTCCCCTGCAGTACCTCTCCGCCTCCTCCACCATCACCTCCACCACCTCTCCCACAGTACCTCCTCGCCCCCTCCACCTGACGTCCACCTCTGCCGCCGCAGAGCCTGGGCCAGACGAACCTGTCCTTCAGCGGCGAGTCGGGCCCCGACCGCAAGTGGGAGTTCCCGCGTCACCATCTGCGCATCCTGCACCAGCTGGGCGAGGGCTGCTTCGGCCAGGTCTGGAAGGTGGAGGCGCTCGATATGTCGGGTGAGTGCCATCTTGACGTGTCCGCCGACTGCGCGCATCCGCGTATTCCGCGTGTTCCTGCGATCTGATCCGCGTATTCCGCGTGTTCCTGTGATTCGATCAGTGTATTCCGTGTGGTTTTGTGTTTCGTTCCGTGTGTTCCGTGTGTCCCTGTGATCTGATCCGCGTATTTCGTGTATTCTTGTGATCTGATCCATGCATTTCGTGTATTTCTGTGATCTGATCTGGGTATCCCGTGTATTCCTGTGACCCGATCCGTGTGTTCCGTGTGCTCCCGTGATTCGATCCTTGTGTTCCGTGTGCTCCTGTGATCCGATCCGTGTATTCGTGTATTTTTGTTTGGATCCATTTTTACACATTAGGCGATGGGACAACGTGCAACATTAGCCAATTTACCGTGACAAAGCCATGCTCGTATGCTTTGAGCATGACATACGTCAGCATGTTGCTTCAAACGTTCCTCGGTAATCCACTACCGTGTTCCCGTGTAGCGAATGCCGGGGACACCTCCATAGCGTTTCCGTGCCTGTAACCTGCGTCGCGCTTTACCACTTCGCCGTTCCGTAAGCGCTGTGGGCACGTCTGAAGCGCAGCACTGATGGCTGTTAGTGTCCAGTGATGCAGTCAGGTATGCGTCTCTAGCGGGTGCGGGCCCCAGCGCGAGCGCTGGCTCCAGTACGGTCATTGGTCCCAGCACGGGTCCTTAAGCGGTCGCTGGTCCCAGCGTTTATTTTGCTCTACTCCTCTTCGGGCCTCTGACGCCCGCAAAACGGGATCATTCGCCTTTCCTAGCCCCTCCCCAAACTGCAGACGCTGCAGTGACCGTTGAAAAACTTCAGACAATCCCCAAACTACAGACACTGTCGTGACCGTTGAATGGCTTCAGACAATCCCCAAACTACAGACGCTGTGGTGACCGTTGAATAACTTCAGACAATCCCCAAACTACAGACACTGTGGTGACTGTTGAATGGCTTTAGATAATCCCCAAACTACAGACGCTGTGGTGACCGTTGAATGGCTTCAGAAATTTCAGCGCATGTTCGCCGCGTTCCACTAATCCCGCTCGGCGCCGCAGGCGTGGAGGGCGTCAGCACAGTGGCTGTGAAGACGCTGAAGGAAGCGGCCGGCGAGAAGGAGAAGAAGGATCTGCTGCTGGAGATGGACGTGATGAAGCTGCTCGACCCTCACCCTAACGTTGTCACCATGCTCGGCTGCTGCACTGAGAAAGGTCAGGCGGCATGTTTACGGTCAAAGCCGTAGTTCAACACGCCGCACCACTGAAGCCTCCATGTAAACACTGCGCTTCCATTCGTTACTATTGCGCCTGGGTTGTGCAAAATCCAGCATATGCAGAGCATCACACTCGGAGTGTCAGGTCTGTTATGTTCACGAGGAGTGGGAATAGCACAACGAAGGTTGAAGCTTTGCCAGTGAAGAGGAGCAATAGCTCAAAGAAGATGGTTAGCCACAGTTCGTGCAGTACCAGGTCATAGACCTTTGTATGAAAGCATACACTACCGTTGGGTGTACTCCCGTTTTCCTGACGGCAGAATGCCAACGAGCGGATTATTCACATCACAGACTGACTCTCTCCCTTTCGCTCTCTCTCTCTTTCTCTTCCTGTCCTACTCTCTCTCTCTCTCTCCCTCTCTCTCTCTCTCTCTCTCTCTCTCTCTCTCTCTCTCTCTCTCTCTCTCTCTCTCTCTCTCTCTCTCTCTCTCTCTCTCTCTCTCCTCTCTCTCTCTCTCTCTCTCTCTCTCTCTCTCTCTTTCTCTCAACTCTCTGTCTTTCTCTTTCTTACCTCTGATATTTATCCGTCGACACGTCAACACGGCACCAAATGGCCGCAGCGACCGAAGCGCTGCCAGAAACACCAAGCATCATCATCATCATCATTATCACCACCATCTCCCGGCAGATCCGATATTCCTAATTATGGAGTACGTGCACCGGGGCAAGCTGCAAACGTACCTGCGCGAGTCGCGCACCCCCAACGACTACAACAACCTGCACGGGCCCTCGGCGATGCTCACGTCCCGGGACCTCACCACGTTCGCCCACCAGGTGGCGCGCGGTATGCACTACCTCACCGAGAAGGGGGTGAGTCAAACCCGCACGCGACGGCGGCTGAGACCGGCAGCAGTGGCGCCATCTGCGGCGGCGGGAAACTGGGCGGTTGCGGGTCTTAGTTATGGTTAGTTACGATCATGTTTGGCTAGTTACGGTCAGGCTTGTTGCGGTCAGGTTACGGTCAGCTTACTTAGTTACGGTCAGGCTTGTTGCGGTCAGGTTACGGTCAGCTTACTTAGTTACGGTCAGGTTTGAGGGGAGGGAGGGGGTTGAATTGGCGTCTGGTCGAAAGACAAGTGGAGAACTTTGCAATACTATGCAGATGGAGGTCGATATGTAGGAGGAAAGTTTGGTAGAAACTCGGTCGGTGGTGGTACGGTGATGGCTGCATGCAATAGTCGTTTCGCTACTGATTTCCGGATCGTTACATTGTATTTAAAGGGAATATCTTAACCTATTTACTTTTCACTTATTATTGCATCAGACGCATACGATTTGATCAACCATATCAGTTTCTCGAAATCCCTCTGAATAGCTCAAAAATTTTATTTGAAATGGCCTACCCTGCGGGAGAAATCTCACTTGATTCCCTGCTCACCATTATGAAAGTTATGCGTTTTGTTCTCTCTGCCTTTTCCGGCGTATGTCTTTTGTAACGTTTGCAACGCACTACTGTCTCAAATGTTTGTGTAATAAATGACATGAAAGCTTGACATATGACTCAACATATGACAATAACATGAAAAATTCTGTTTAGACAAAAGATACGGGAACGTGAATCTTTTATCGCTCGAATTCTACCAAATGTTACACTGTGGTTTGATTGAGCCTCTATGGCGTTAACCACATTTACTTTTTTGAGGAGCACTTTGGCTCCGGGAATGGGAGTCTCACATGATCCTAGTAACGGACTGGTTCAAACTTCAACCAATACACTTCGTGGTAATAGGCACTTACACTCTGGGCCAATCAGAAACGTCCTTTTATTCGCACCAGAAGAGATGCGCATGGTAGTTGTCATGATGACGGTGGTTGCAACTGCAGGGCGGAAGCATAGTGCTGTTACAAAGCGTTAACAACGTAATTTGGATTTGAAAATAATTAGAATTGGCATCCATATTGCTTCTTGACGGTGCTGCAGTGGCACTTCCGAGTGCTTTTATTACGCGTAACTGGTCCTGCGGTTTTACTGGAGTATGTTTTTGAAACATGCCACAGGCGTGTGACACTCCTTCTAACTGTTGCAGCTGATGCCGATAAATATGACTTACACGTCTCATCAGTGACAGTGATAAACAGCAAGCAATCGATGCGCTCGAAAACTTCAAGCACCGTAAATTATCCCGTCATTGGGCATATGCCTTATGACATCACGTGCCTCGTATGACGTCACGCTATGATATTTCCAGATTATTCATCGGGATTTGGCGGCCCGCAACGTGCTGGTCTCAGAGGAGCGCGTCTGCAAGGTGGCCGACTTCGGCTTCGCGCGTGACATTATTGTCAGTCACGTGTACGAGCGCAAGACGGAAGGCCGGCTGCCCATCAGGTAAGCAGAGCCATCTGTTGGGTAGATTGGTAACTGAGCCCGGCATCATCAGGCCTCGTCCAGTCGATGCCCTGTGAAAGTAAGTGTGATGGGCTACTGTGTGGATTCTAGCTGAATGTGTCACACACAGCCGACTATCTGCTCATTAGCTGATCACCTGGGAGATGGCCAACGAACCAGCACAGTCATTGAGCAGGATGCACACTTAGCACGTCCTTTGCGTACAGGCGCGTCAGTGTCGATAGGCTCAACGTCAAGCTACCCAGCATCGCACAACAGTGTCCAGCTGCATGCGTGAAGCCGCAGCTAACGCGCCACCAGCGCGATAGCCCTTACCGAATCACAAACGCATCAGGAGCTCGTCATCCTCTCTGTTTTCCCAATTCTTGCTTCATCCCGAATCCTTGCGTTACCCGGTTATCTGCCCCCGTCCCCCCCCCCCCCTTGCGAGGGCCGAACGCAAACCTCGAGGAGGGGTTCCCGCGCGGGTTCAGTCTCGGCAGATGGTCCCCCAGGTTCACTGTTCACCCCGTCCCCCGTTCTCCACTCCCCTTCATCCCATAGCCCTGAAATGGTGGTGACTGGCGGAAAGGCTTAAATGCCGACAACGAAACTAATCAGGAGCGTCACCTTTTTCCTCGTTCTCCTTTTATCACGCGTCCTCGCGACACCCCTTTTATCCGGGAAAACCACATGCACCAGCCATGACGGGGCTTAAGTGCACCCTGGTGGGGGTCCCGTCCGAGTGCCGAGTACATGCCCTGTATAGTGGTCCCCGTACGTGCTAGGTCTCCACGGATAGACCCCGGGTGCATGCAGTTTTCCCATAATTATCCTAGTCTCTTTTATCCGATAGCCCTGCAATGGTCACTACTGGCCATAGGGACTCCGTGATCCAAACCAAACCAAACCAAAAGTACGGAAGCCTACTTAGTGCTCGCAACGTTCACATGTGTCCAATAACAATCTTCCACTGGATGGAAATCGACCCAAGCAGGCAGCGCGCCTGAAAGCCCTTGTAATCAATCAATAACCACCCATGAAAACCATGGACTGCCAACACATTTGACCATGGACTGTCGACACTTTCATCCACGCGCTTGTTCACGCATCCACGAACCGCCGCATACCTCCGCGGATGTGTGGCGAACGAGGGACGAAGGAACGAAAGAAAAGGAGTAAAGGACGAGCTTGTGACGTCACTGACTTCTGCAGATGGATGGCGCCGGAGAGCTTGTACGACAACATCTTCACCGCCAAGAGTGACGTATGGAGCTTCGGCATCCTGCTCTGGGAGATCGTCACGCTGGGTATGAACTTATGACGTCATATGTTGGGCAAGCCAAAAACATCAAACGGAGTGTAATTTTCGCGTGTCGTGGCAATAATCATGCGGCCTACTCCCCACGCTCGATCGGTTGATTATTCTGACTCTCCCCTGATACATGTTTCGTAACATGTCGCGAAGTTCTCGCAACCAGATGCGTGACACCACAGCGCACATGTACGAAGCGTTCATGTGACGTCACTGGGAACCGCTCCGTGACACGTTGACTTGCGTGACAGGCTCTACCCCGTACCCGGGCATGTCGGCTCAGGAGGTGATGAAGAAGGTGCGAGAAGGGTTCCGTCTAGAGAAGCCGGAGCACTGCCGGCGAGAGCTCTTCAACCTCATGGTGAGTCCAGTCTGCAGTGGTGCTCCTCGTGCTCTCTGGTGTGCTCCGCGATGTGCTCCTGTGCCGATATGCAACGAGGCGAGCAGGCATGTCGTAATGTGAAACCATGGCGAAGAGCGTCAGTGCTACCAACACCAAGGAATTTGTTCACTGATAATCAAATAGAAAATACGCATAATTTATTGCTACTCAACGCATGTGCACGATGCAGTGACTTAATAGTTGCCGTTCCATGCAGATATCCTAGATTGCTGCCATTTTGTATTCCTATTAATCCGCACGCATAGGAGAGCGTTGCGGGTCGCAGTTGTCACACGCGTTTTGCGTGTTTTCAGTACTACTGCTGGTCAGCGGAGGCCGACTCTCGTCCGGGCTTCGCTGAGATCGTGGAGACGCTGGAGAAGCTGCTGCTCACGGAGATGGACTACATAGAGTTGGACCGCTTCCCCGAGCACTCGTACTACAACCTCACCGGACTCAGTGGCGAGAAAGTGTGAGCCGCCGGCGTCAGCGGGGCGAGTGGCGTCGCCCGGAGAGATGGACCCGCCTGAGCTGTGGTGGACTCGTCCGAGGCGTGATGGACTCGTCCGAGTGGTGATGAACTCGTCCGAGGCATGATGGACTCGTCCCGACCGAGCTGTGATTGACCCCAATTACGCAACGCCGAACGACGAAGAGAACGACAAAGGCTCATCTGTGACGGTGGCACGTAACTGGCAGATTCTGATAAGGTCTCCTATGCATTGTTCGGGAGCAATGACATGGTTAACAGTAGCGGCATCAGCGAGTGACCATTGGCCCTGCGACTGTACGCTTGCTTCAGAAAGAACGTGCTTTCCGCAGCGCACGCACTACTCGACCAATGGTTGTGAGTCTTCTCCATGACGTCACGTGTGACGACATCAACGACGGAGGCCTGCGATCGGGCTGATTTTCTGACAGATTCGAGTGGGCTCCATCTAGTTACTGTGGACCCGAACAGGCCGTTTTCAATGTCGCGTCACATGTCTCGCCACCGGCGTGTTCGAGACAGGCGGTGGGCTTCCTGCCGGTCAACATGACATGCATGTGTCGTGCAATACCTGTGGTATTTGTTGTACAAGTGTATTTGATATCTGCGACTGTGAATATGTATTAGTATGTGAATAATGTTGCACCTGGCCTGTTACGGATATTGGTTCATTCACACGCGCACGCATGATGTTTGTTAATGTCCGTTTCGGGTGTCAGGCACGTGGAATGCTGCTCTGGCGTGGCTCTAACGCTTTCGATTAACTTCAGCGCCTGACTGTAATGGAACCTTTGATGATTGGCGAAAACCGGCTATTTGAACCATGCTCAAGGCCGTGTGGTTGTGTCTTGCAGGATGCTTTCAAACAAGACTCGCTTGCAATAATGTCGCAGTAGATTTTTTAAGTAACTGCGGTTTGGACAGATGATATTACATACTCGTAGATCTGAACGCAACATAATAAACCAACAACGGCACGGAGCCTGACAATACGACGGGCTGGTTTTGCGATCGCGCATTTTTAATTTTGCTGATGTCATTCAGACCTAATGCTCCATAGTGCAGCGCTTTTGAGTTCGCGGCATGTGTCATTTGACAGCGGTTATCGTACCGTACATGTGGTGTGGTGATCATATTTCAAGTCACGTTCTCGCTCCCATAGGGACATCTGTCGTATGTGGTGAGCACAACACGTGCGGTGAACCTTACCCGGTGCAACAATTGGCACAGACGCCTGTTACGTGTCGCCTCGTCTTCTAGAGCAGCTACAGCTGGCAATAAAGCACCGTTTTAAACCTCCGAAACTGCCTTCAGGTGCCACACAGGTCATGTGTAGTTAGAGTGGTTGTGCTCATGTGGTCACGGCAGCAGATGCGCTTGTTGCTCGCTTCCAGCCGGGCTGCGCGCGATATGTGACAGCACCGCTCACTTGTCGCGCACTTGCGATGTCGCGATGACGTGGCCATGCCTTTCATCTGACCTGTTTTACGGTATTCTTTATTCCGTTTGATATGTGGCTGGTGGAATGCATTTCCCACAAAATACTGGCTGTCGTTGTTCCGACGCCGCGTTCTACTGCCGCCGCGTTCTACTGACGCCGTGTTCTACCGACGCCGTGTCGTATTTCCGGCGCGGGTCTGTGAAGCTGGCCATAGATTGTGCCTGCTCTTGGGGGTGCGTGCGAGACGTGTTGATATGGAGCGAGTGATGTGACGCGTAACGTGTGACGCGTGACGGCAGCAGTCACGTGCTGTTCGGACCCGTGTGCTTTAATGTTAGTGGCCTGGTGAATATACAGACATATGACACGGACCAAGCGTGTATTGCGGCGATGTCTGAAACCTTCAGCATCAGCCTGGATGAGGCTGTTCATGATGCGAGGACGTCACCGAGTGGAAGTGTGAAGATCGATGTCACATGGAACATAAGCTCTGTTTGCGCTGGTTTTGACGGGTCTAAATTCCTCCGTGAAAATCCTCTCTAAGTGATGTGCAAAGCAGGTCCGTCTGAGCACGTTAAGGCTGCAGGCGCGTGTTCAAAAGCCCAAACAATTAGTGAATAAAACCATTACAGTGTTTTATTGCAAAGGGTTATGAATTGAACAAATCGCTTCGCATACCGATGGCACGGCCAATTCTGTGCCGCTGCTCTGCATTCTGCCGCCCCTCACCATGACACGTGGTGGCAGGCAGTAAAAGGCGTAAGCGCTGCTTGGGATTCGAACCCGGATCCCGGGATCAAAGCCTGCTGCGCTGCCATTTGTGCTATTTCTCTCAAGTCACGCTATTAAATTCGCGCGATATGCTTCGGGGATGGACTCGCCTAATGATGCTTTTGTATTCCTTTTTTTCTTAAACACAACATTGCCACCACAAATCCCTTAGGAATTACGTACTCGCTATATGTTTCAGCAGCCAATTCTACCAAAGCACACTGTCAGCGTACCAGAGCCGATGCCGCCGCTATACGGCTCTCCCACACCGCACGTACGCCGCGACAGTTCGCACTCGAAATCGCTCCTCAACAATCGCCGATGGACGGTAGACGGAGCGGACACCGCGACCGCTGATGCGCTTCCCACTGGGGGCGCGCTCCGTCGCGAAGAGCGTGAAACGCTCCTCGCAAGCGCTCGCTTCGCAAACGCTCAAGAGCGTAAAACGCTCTTCGCAAAGCTGAAAATAGTGTTGCGGCGGTGATCTATCTCGATCGTCCGGCGGCAGCCCGGCTGGAGGGGACTCGAGACCAGGCTCCGGTCGCTCCTTGGAAGGCCGGACGTGTTTCGGACGTCTTCTGGACGTGTCCCGGACGTGCTCGGGACGCGTCCTGGACGTCCGCGGGACGTATTCTGGATATCCGTCACGTGTATGTTGTGAGTGGACCACTCGCCGGCGCGTGAATGGGACGCACTTCGGAAGTCCAGTAGCACACTATGGCGGGAGGGGGGGGGGGGGGGAGGGGGTCCTGTTGACGTGGTCGTTTGGCGTTCTGCACCTTCGTACGCGTCGAAGGGTGTGTTCCGTCGGCTTTGAGACGAGTGCTGATCACGTGACAGCGGCGGACGTCTGGCTCTAGAGGCAGAGCCCCTCTTGGCATCCCCCGGACGTGCAGTGGGTGGCTCTGGAGCAGGCGGCGCCGGCCCCCATGGCTGGCAGGCACACGGAGTCCTGAAACAGAGCAGCCCGTCACACACAGAGTCCTGAAACACTGAAGCCCGTCACGCACAGAGCCCTGAAACAGAGCAGCCCGTCACACACAGAGTCCTGAAACAGAGCAGCCCGTCACGCACAGAGTCCTGAAACAAAGCATCCCGTCACGCGCAGAGTCCTGAAACAGGGAAGCCCGTCACATACAGAGTTCTGAAAAAGGGAAGCCCGTCACGCACAGAGTCCTGAAACAGAGCGGCCCGTCACGCACAGAGTCCTGAAACAGAGCAGCCCGTCACACACAGAGTCCTGAAATAGAGCAGCCCGTCACACACAGAGTCCTGAAACAGTCAACTCGTCACACGCAATCCTGAAACAGAACAGCGACACAGCTTCTACCAGCGAGCTTCTGCGTTAGACCGAATGCATCCTCAGGCCTCAGATCGATGCCGGCTTCCATCGCGCTACGATGTTTGTTCTAACACTGCAACTCCTCGCCCACTCCAGTGATTCGCGAAACAGAAGATATGAGAGATATGCACTGAAGATAAAGAGAAATATGCGCTTCGGCTGTGTCACGGATCATGGATCGGATCGCTAAGGATCACCATCTTCTGATCAGTGGTGCTCTATCACGCGAAGGTCAACTACGTCAAGAGACGACGCTTCATAAACCGGAATCGGCTCAACACAATACGGTCCACAGCTTAGGGGGAAACTGTGGTTGAAAGGCCATCGGGCTTACTCATTCGCTCCCACATTACACCTATCTTGTCCACAAAAGCAGCCTGACAAGCCAGGCAAACCACATCGAGAACATTCTCCAGCGCTGTCTGGCGGCCGAGCGCCGCCACTCACCGTTTCTTTAGTCTCGGTGCCCGGGCACGGCATGGCGGCAGCGAAGCAGGCCAGATTTAGCGGGCAGTCGGCGTCCGCCCGGCACGGCTGCAAAAACCGCAGCTCTAGTCGGATCGCGCCAGGGTCGGCGCCACACTCCGCCGCCGCCGGCGCCGGCTCTGGCTTCGAATGCCCCTCGGCGGGCGGCGGCAGTGGAAGACCGTCGAAAAGAGACGGCCGCGGGAGGCCGCCGCGCCCCGCTTCGGGAAGGTAGGAAGGTTTGGCGTCCGGCGGGCTGATGTCGCCCGGCTGAGGAAGATATGCTGGCTTGGAAGACGTCTGAACGGAAGACAGCTCAGTCCTCCCATTCGGCTCCGGCAGGTAGGCGAACCGTGAGGCTTTGTCGGCGGACGGCGCGTTGTGTGACGTCAGAGACTGCGTCAGTGACCGTGTGCCATCTGGTAGATACGACCTCCCCTGGCGGGCCGTGGTGAACTCTTCGATCACTCCCGCGGGCAGCAGCTGCGCCGCACTCACGGCGAGTTGATCCAGCTGCACGGAGGATAGCTGACCGTTGCCCGAATGCGGCGCGATGCCCGGCGCGATGAAGGCGGCCAGCTCGGGCGGCACTTCGAGCACATCCCCGTCCTGTTCCTGCAGCTGCGGCAGCGTTTCCGGCTCGAACTCCAGGGACTTGCCGCGCCTGGAGTTGGGCGCCCGTACCGTCGCCGTGGGCTGGCGCCTGCCGGGCAGTCGCCTCCGCAGCGGCGGCGCTCCGCCCCCAGACGTCCCAGCGCTCTGCGGTGGCCGGCGGCTGCGTCGCGGCGCCGTCTTCGTCACCTCCCGCGCAGCCGGAGGCGTCTCTTCCGGCTCCGCCTGGGGTCGCCTGTAGCGACCGCGGCCGCGGCCCCTCCCCGCCGCAGGCCGCGGCACCGCCTGCTCCCTAGCCGCCTGCGCCGGCCGCCGGCCGCGCCGCGCCACCCGTGTCGCCTGGCCGGTGTACTCCTCCAGGTCAAAGCTGCCACCGCGCCGCCGCCCAGAGGTGGAGGTCACCTGTGGCGCAGGTGGCGCTGGCGGCGTCGCGGCCGTCGATTGACGCTGGTGGCGCTGGCGGCGCTGGCGGCGCTGAGGGTGGCGCCGCGGAAGGAGTGGGCCGGGACCGCGAGCTGGCCTGAAGAGGCCTCGCCGGCGGCCGCTGCCGGTCCCTGATCCGGGGCGGGCAGGCCGGGCAGGCCGAAGGTGCCGACGTCGGCGATGGGTACGCCCTTGTTCCGCTGTTCCTGGATGAACGCCTCGAGGTTGAAGCGGGAGCCGCTACGGCCGCTCTTGGCGGCGGTGCGGGACTGAGACTGGTTGACGGCAGGCTGGGATTGAGACCGGCTGGCGGCGGGGCGGGACTGGGACCGGCTGGCGGCGGAGCGGGACTGGGACCGGCTGGCGGAGGGGCGGGACTGGGACCGGCTGGCGGCGGGGCGAGATCGGGACCGGCTGGCGGCGGTTGGCTGCGCCAGCCCCGGCGTCGTGGGGCGGCGCGCCGACCCAGCGCCGGCCGGAGTCGGCAGCTGGCGGAGCGGGGAGCCGGCCGTGGTCGGCGTCGGAACCTCGTCAGCCGGCGGCGGCTGGGACGTCGGCGTGGCGCGGGTGGTCTCCGGAGCCGCCGGGGTCACGCGCGACCGGTTCCGGCCGCGGAGTCGGCGACGCCGCGGCGCCGCAGTCGGCGTCTCGACCGCGGCTGCCGTCTGGCTCTTGCGTCGGCCGGCGGCCGCGGCGCCGGGCGATGGTGGCGCCGCCGCGTGTCCGCGGGCGGAACCCGGCGTCCGCCTGCGGCGTTTCTGCGTCGGCGGCGGCCGCCAGCCGCCCGCCGCTGGCTGCTGGTTCGTCCCCGGTCGGCGCTCTATGCCGCTGCCGGGAGCGGCCGGCGAACGACCGCCGTCGGGGAGCCGGGGCGACACTCTCGGATGGCTGGGGCGCCTCGAAGTTCGGGGCGTCCGCAGCAAACTGCTGAGCGTCGCTGGGGATACGGATGCTGCGCTCCTGCGCCGCCGCTGCCGCTGCCAGCAGCTGGAAACCATTGGTCGGTGTTAGCCCGGTAGACAACTGGAAATATGTCATACCCTCATATGTGGCGCTCACGAGGCTCCCAAGCCTGTTGCAGCGACTAGAACCTGGACCTTTCCAGTAGTCGCTAACACTGAGCAATCCATATTTTTGGAAGGTATCTATGCGTGCTGTGTGGTGGGACAGTGAAAGACATTTATCCTCAAAAAGCCGAAACACTTGGATTTAGGTGCAGGCACTTTTGAATAATCTACCATGCACGATGTGGTTATAACCAGGTGATATCATCATTTCAATATTCAAACCACTAATTTAGCGCCGGGTAGCTACTAACACCAGGTGGTACTCTGCTAAGTAGTGGGCTCTGAACGACCGCCGCTGTGCGGCTGCTGATAGGCGGCACTAGCTGCGTTGTCATGACAACAGCTGTTTGATTTGTCGCGCCATCGGTGGCAGCTCCTGGCCATGTTGACCTTGAAGTGTGTTGCCAACTCGTCACACGCCACGCGGCCATCGTAAGCTCGTTGTCACGGTCGTCGCACGCTTGCGAGTTTCCGTACGGGCTTTCACATGCCGCTTGATTCTGCTGATCCACTCTGTGTGGCGGGCCAGGGCCATGACCTTGGTCAAGGTTGGGCCAGGCGCTGGGAGAGAGCCCTGGCCCTTCTAACCCTCTCCTCCATAGACCTAGGGACAGGGGAAAGTGGATTTGGCACCCACATCTCACCAAGTTGTAATGACCCTTTTGTAATGCAGAGGGCACTTCCGGTGCCCCAATTTGGCAGCGTTATGTTCCGGCTCTCCTCGCTTGTTAATACTTTTTTACTGAGTGATGTGCAGTGTGGCTTTATATACCCTTCGTTTTAACGGAAACGGAAGGGACATGTGAACGATATCCTTGTGAAATGCAAAGTCATGCATTATCAGTTGGCAGCCGCTGCTCCGATGCCTAAAAAAAACTCCCGTTAAATGCTTGAATATTTTCACAGCCCACTCAGTAACAACCACGTTCCATAGATAGATTTTCTACTGGATCTTTTCTTTGTGTCGTCAGCTGTTGATCGCTACCTGTCTGTTTTTGGAGCTTTTTCTACGTCCATTTCTCCTTCCAGTGCAACATTTTCCTTTTACTCCATTGCTGTTTACATCCACTGTCCTATCCAATTTGGAAGGGAACACCAGGCACTGCAGTTCACCACAGAACCTTGCAACTGGCCACACCCTGCCCCGCCCCCTGCCTCCCAGCACACCCGGCAGTACCGCGACACCGGCCGAGGTCAAGCACCGCCCACCCGGCAGCCGGCTGAGAGTGGCCCACGGCGTGCCGTGCTCCGGCTACCAGCCGGCGCGCTCACGCAACCAGACCCCGCTAATCATGCGTGACCATACCATGCGTGACCGTACCATGCGTGACCCGCCCGCCGCGCTTGGCTTCTGGTGTGACCTCGGCGGACAGTTGCGGTGGCGAGCCGTTACAAAGTCATGTTTCGCAAAATGGTGACGCGGGGTGGTCAGTTTCGAGGGACGTGTCTTTGTCAGGTCCGTCAGGCATGTCGGACGATGTCGAATGTGGGACAATGTTGGGTGACCATGTTGGATGTCGGACACTGCAGTGCCTGGCAACAGCTCAGCCCACTGCTGATACGATCCCACCACAGAGAGAGAGAGAGGAGAGGAGAGAGAGAGAGAGAGAGAGAGAGAGAGAGAGAGAGAGAGAGAGAGAGAGAGAGAGAGAAGAGAGAGAGAGAGAGAGAGAGAGAGAGAGAGAGAGAGAGGGGGGGGAGTAGAGGGAGAGAGAAAAGAGGGGGAGGGAGAGAGAGAGGGAAGGTGGGATGGAGAAGGGAAGAGGAGGGGATAGAGAGGGAGAGAGAGAGAGAGAGGGGGGATAGAGATGAAGAGAGAGGGAGAGAACAGAACTATTCGGCGGTAGCGCAAAACAGCAGCACCAAAGCTCGAACCTCGTGAAGCGCATGCGCAACAAATGATTAGCATGAAATCTTAACCTTCTTTTCAGATCGGCACAAACATTGTCCGTTCAGGCGACGACCGTCAGCGCGAGTGACACCAGAACCATGTCTCCGCCCCTCTGTGCCGTGGTCCCCTCAGCTGTTCCGCCGCCCCACCCCCGCCCCGCCGTCGTGGGGGCAGCCGTCTGTGCCGCGGAGGCCGACCCCGGACAGCTGGACCCCGGCCTTGGCCGGTGCGGGGGAGCCACCATCCTTGTCTGCCCTTCCGTGCCGCACCGGGCGGAGATCCGGGGGACGTCGGGGGGAGGGGGGAGGAGCGATTCCAGGGAAAATGAGGACGGGGAGGTCAGCTGGTGAGTCCCGTTGGCTCCCTCCAGTTGACGTTAACGGTGTCAAGGGGAGACGACTCGGTCGACTCTCCGACTCGTCAGGAGGTCCGTGATCTGACGCCTGGTCTGGGCACGAAGTGGAGCAGTACCACGTCATCGCATGTGACTTGCATCATTACACAGGGGCTTAATCTGGTGTCAGAGCTGAAATGCACAGTGACTGAAACAGACAGGAGTGAAACCCATCGCATGTCGGCAGGATCTGTCAAAATAATTAATACAAGTGGCTACAGAAATGATTTTGTTTCGTAATCATTGACCAGTGAGTTATTTTACTATGGGGAATTTGGTCCCATGGCACCAATTTATCATGTACTGCAGTAAACAAGAAACTAGGAACGAAGAAACGTGGACATGTGTAGACATGTAACGTGTAAAATGTATAGAAACGTGCACATGACGAAACAAAAACACATCCAAAGTACCGGTTTCTTTGACAAACCTGACAACATTCCATGGACAACATTCCATTGTTTCTCCGTACTCTACTGTTCGTGCATTTCAGATTTGACACCAAAGCAGGTCTCTGTCTAATATATGAATATACGACGTCTGATATATAAATATGTATAAGATATGCTATAATAGGTCCAATATATAATAGCGTGAAAGAAGCTAGTTTCAAATATTACCTGTGGATTTTGGCTTCAAATGAGCTTCATTCTTCTTTTTCACCAAAAACAATGCGATAATATGTTCACCGGCCCTGCACTTTCCCTCCCCCGGTATAAATCGGGTGACGTCAGAAGAGAGAGAGAGGGGGGGGGGGGGGGACCGCGCCGAGCTTTACGGCACATTCCACTCTCGCTACCAAATTCTGCCTGCGAATCTGGAATTTCACGATCGGATGAAAGGGGTGAGGGCTTGCACAACAAACGTTGACTTGCGTAAACTCTGTTCAGATATCCATACATATAAAAGCTTCTGACTTAGAACAAATAAAACCATGAGTGCTCCGTAAGGTGTAATTTCATACAGCATGGCCTACTGTCGTGTGCACCGAGCCATGCGCATCCCGCACGCACACACACACACACACACACACACACACACACACACACACACGCATATATATATATATATATATATATATATATATATATATATATATATATATGTATATATATACATGTGTGTGTGTGTGTGTGTGTGTGTGTGTGTGTGTGTGGTGTGTGTGTGTGTGTGTGTGGTGTGTGTGTGTGTGGTGTGTGTGGTGTGTGTGTGTGTGCGGTGTGTGTGTGTGTGTGTGTGTGTGTGTGTGTGTGTGTGTGTGTGTGTGTGGTGTGTGTGTGTGTGTGTGTGTGTGTGGTGTGTGTGTGTGTGTGTGTGGTGTGTGGTGTGTGTGTGTGTGTGTGTGTGTGTGTGTGTGTGTATTTCACCTAAGTCAGCTGTAGCAGCCGAGTACGCCAGAGCAGAGTCTGTCTACAGCACGGTGCCCAAACGTCTGCCGCCTGTCGCCATGGATTCGTGGGCGACGCGTCCTTCCACACGGTCACCCAGACGGACGGTGCGTCACGTGAGTATGTGACGTCACACCCGCTGTCTGCCGTTTTGCCGTGCCGCCGTGACCTTCGTGAGGGCCGTGACGCTCGGGACGCCGGGACGCGTGACGGTGGGCCTGCCGCTGACCGAGCCGGTGGTGACGGCATCCGAGCCACAGTCATGGGCTGAGAACCGTTGAAGACAATGGACCCACGAAAATATTGTTATTTTTGTTTTCCGGTGAGAAGTGAAAAGTTGTCATTAAAAAGCAGCTTTACCTTCCGGTAACATTCCAAATACATGAAAAATTGGGATGGTGTTGGTTGTGAGGCTAAAACGGACTAAAACGCCCTTATGTGGAAGGTATTACTGCCCCATTCTCGTATCAGGCTTCATATGGCGAAACGGGGCGAAAAGATTGCAAACAGTTTATGGAACTGAAAACTTACAGGGCAAAGAGAACACTTTACTAAAAATGGCTACCATAGAGCTTACTAGTTCAACCGAATGATTCAGATGAAGATACTA